TACCATACACTGGATAGCTTATACACAGAAATTTATTTCTCACAGTTCAGGAGACTGGGAAGTCCAAGATCAAGGCACTGGTAGAGTAGTGTCTGGTGAAGGCCTGCTCTTAGTTCATGGATGGTGCCTTTTTGCTGTGTCCTCATATGGCAGAAAGGGAAAAATCTCTGATCTCACTAGCCCCTTATAAGGGCACTAATCCTATTCATAAAAGTTCCACCCTCATGACCTAATCACCTCCTAATATCATCACATTGGGGATTAGGTTTCAACATATGAATGTTGGAGAGGCACAAACATTCAGTCTATAAAGCTGCTTACGAGCAGAAGCAAGTGGTCCTGAGACAGAGGGGATCAGTAGCTTCATACACCTGCAACCCATTTACAGCATCCCAGGAAAGCCCAACATTGGTTAGGAAGCTCTGGCTTAATTAATATAGATGTTCATGTTCCTCTCACATAGAAGCCTTATGCTAACCCTGTCCTATGAAGCCATCAACGTCCCAGACCCCCTCTATATTGTTGCTCCACCATCCCTAGCATGTTGCCCTTATCTACAAGATCCCAGATGGCACACTGCACATCCACCTTCCATCCAGAGAGAGGGTAAAGGGGAAGGGAAGACCCATCCATCCTTTTAAGGGCATGTATCAGTTGTCTATTGTTGCAAAACAATTACCCCAAAACTTGGTTATTTAAAACAATAAATGTTTATTATCTCAGTTTCTGTAGGTCAGAAATTCAAAGGTTATAGTCAAGATGTCATCCAGCACTACAGTCACCTGAAGGCTGGTTCAGGGGTTAAGGACTTGCTTTCAAAATCACTTTCTCATGTGACTGTTGGTAGGAAGCCTCAGTTCTTTGCCACATGGGTCTTTCCACAGGGCTGCCACCTTGGCCTCATGACATGGCAGCTGGCTTTTTCCAGAGTGGATAATACAAGAGACAGAAAGTAAGAAGGAAGCCAACTGCCTCTTCAGTTCAACCTCAGGTGTTCGTCACTTCTACCACATTCTGTGTATTAGAAGCAAGTCACAAAGTATAGGCTAGGCTTAAAGGATGGGAATTAAGCCTCTACCTTAATGGAAGAAGGACTGTCAAATAATTTATGGCCATATATAAAACTATCTAGCACAGGGCACATCCAGGCAGTGGCATGCATACCTCTTCTGCTTGCACCCATTGGCTAGAACTCAGTCTCACAGCCTTGCAGAGCCCCATGGGAAGCTGAGATACATTGTCTTTGTTCTAGTGGCTGTCCACACAACTAGAAATTGGTGGTCTATTACTACGAGAGAGAAACGAGAAGTGAATGACGTTTCTGCCTCAGAAGAAGCAAAAACACTGACATGCTAGGAGGAAAAGACAAGAATCCTGTGGAATATAATTTACCTTCTAGGGGTGGAAAAGGTGTTTTTTCATCATTGACCTTGATCATTTCATTCTTGAAAATGCTCATAACATACAGTTGAGTGAAAAATGCAGGTCGAATAGGAGCAGGATGCCACTCATGACAATATGCATATGTGTATCTCAAAGAGTGTGGAGGCAGAGAGGTGACCGGAAGGATATTAACCAACAAAGTCACCGTGGTTATCTCCAGGGGGTTAGATTAGTGGCGATTTCCCCATATATTTCTATGTCACCTTTCTGTATCATTTGCTGTTTCTCCAAAAACAGAAAAAGCTATAAAAATATTTTTTCGTATTCTTTCTAATCAACCCCTCCTCCCCAAGCTGGTCTAATGGAAGAAGATGGATGAGGAATTCCTGCATTGTGCAGTAAGTCTGGCTGGTGAACCTGTTGGCTCTGAGGCATGCCACACACAGGGCAGGCAGGTGGGGCAGAGCCAGGGGCCTGGGTAGACAGTCAGGATGTGCCAGTGAACACAGCATCAGGGCATGAAGTCACAGCTGGGACCATGTGAGTGGAGAGGGGTTAGGCCAGAAATCACGAGAGCAGAGGTCAGAGGCTGGAGAGTCAGACCAAACAGTGAGAGTGGCCAAGGTGTGGTGCTGGAGGGGATATCCAGGCAAAGGCACAGGCCAAGCATCAGGCTGAGAACAGTGTTCCCAGTTCCAACAAGCCCCAGGGGCTGGGAGGCAAAAAGATGCCAGGAAGCTATGCTCTGTATCAGAGATGAGAGCCAGTGCAGGTTGAAAAGACCCCAGGTGTCTCCCCAACCCCCAGGGCACGGCCGGGCAGGAGCTGCCAATTGGACTGTAGCCCCAACACAGCCACATGGGCTGTCAGGGAGCCTGTTGCTGCCCCAGCAAGAGAGTTAGCTGCCACGGTTGACTGCGCTGCCCCCTGCTCAGGCAAGGCTGGTGACTGGGTTTAATGTTGCCTGCCAGCTCTGATCTGTGAGCAGTGCTCCCTGAACTACGGTGCTGAGACAGATTCTAAGGCCGAGCTGGAGCTAAGTGGGAGCTGCTGAAGTGATTAATTAGTGATGTCTGCCGAGGCACAAAAGGAGGGTATTTTAGCCCTAGTGCCACCATTCCAGCAGGCACTCTTTTTCTGCTAGGGGTTCACCTTCACCTCTTCTTCCCCCACTTGTCTGCCTCCCATTGTAAGGAAAATTACCCACAATCCTATGTTTTCATCCTGGCCATTCACAGCGAGAGTTTTCTGCATACAGAGAGCCTTTTTATGTCGTTCTCATCAGAAAGTACATCACATCCTAATTGTATATGCTTTTCCACTTGGTATTACAGCACAAGAATTTTTCTGTGATTGTTTTTAATATGCTTTTTTTAAAAGTAACACAAGAACATTGTAGAAAGTATAGAGTACCAACAAGAAAAAGACCTTAAAACCTTTCATTCTAAAACCCATAGAGGACCCCAGAGCCTGCCAGGCAGTGCGACCAGGAGGGTCTTCATACCAGAGTGATAGCACTGGGAATGGCCATAAGTATCAGAATTACCTGAAATAATTAAAAAAAAAAAAACAAAAACAGATTCCTCCCTACACACGTGTTAGAAAAAGTCAGTCTTCTTCTACCCACCTCCCCTGTAAAAACAAAAATGGGCAAAGGCTATAATGAACAAGACAATTCACAGAAACAGAAATTCACGTGGTCAATAAACATGAAAAATGTTCTTCTCCATTAGGCAGGAAAATGAAAATTAAAACAATGAGATGCCTTCCCCGCTTCCCCAGAAGACTGGCAAGAACTCAAGTGTGATAACATCCAGCAGAGGCAGGGAAATGGGCACAAATTGCTACAGCCTCTTGGGACAGCTATCTGGAGTAGTTTATTAAAAATATACATACACTGGACAGAATAGCCCCACTTCCAGGATCTAGTGTACAAAAGTCAAACACCAGGACATAAAGATACATGTACAGGTTTATTTAATGAAGCTCTTATCCATCTGTACAACAAATACTTGTTAATCAGCTACTGTGGGCTGAGGACGACATTCCCAGTTCCAACAAGCCCCAAGGGGGCACTGTTTAGACACTGGGGATAGTCAGCGAAACAGAAACCCCCGTTCCCAGGAACTTTGTGGTCTAGAGGGAGGTGATAGTGTTTTCAAACTGACATAGCGTGGCAGTGGGTGATGAGTAACATGGAGAAAATAAAGCAGAGGAGAGAGAAAGACAGTGCTAGGAGAAGTAGGGTGGAGTTGCAATTTAAAGTAGAGCCATTGGCTGGGCGTGGTGGCTCACACTTGTAATCCCAGCACTTTGGAAAGCCAAGGTGGGTGGATCACTTGAGGTCAGGAGTTCGAGACCAGCCTGGCCAACATGGTGAAACCCCGTCTTACTAAAAATACAAAAATTGGCCGGGCACGGTGGCTCATGCCTGTAATCCCAGCACTTTGGGAGGCCAAGGTGGGTGGATTACAAGGTCAAGAGATGGAGACCATCATGGCTAATATGGTGAAATATAAAAATACAAAAAAATTAGCTGGGCGTGGTGGCATGCACCTGTAATCTCAGCTACTCCGGAAGCTGAGGCAGGAGAATCGCTTGAACCCAGGAGGCGGAGGTTGCAGTGAGCTGAGATTGCACCACTGCATTCCAGCCTGGGCAACAGAGCAAAACTCTGTCTCAAAAATACATATATATACAAATTAGCCAGGCATGGTGGTGCACACCTGTAATCCAAGCTACTCAGAGGCTGAGGCAGGAGAATCACTTGAACCTGGGAGGCGAGGTTGCAGTGATCCGAGATCGTGCCATTGCAGTCCACCCTGAGCAGCAGAGTGCGATTCCTTCTCAAAACAATAAATAAATAAATAAAATAGAGCCATCATGGAAGTCCTAGCTAAGAAGGTGGTGTTAGATCAGAGAACTGAAGATGGTGAGGGAACCAGCCAAGTGGATACTGGGGGAAGAGCATTCCAGGAAGAGGGAACAGCCAATGCAAGGGCCTAATGCAAAGGGTGGCTGGGTTTGGTGTGTCAAAGAACTTCACAGAGGACAGCTGTGGAGGTGAGGCCAGGGAGCTGTCAGGACAGGTGGTGCAGGGCCTTGAAGGCAAGGACTCAACTTCACTCTGGGTGATACAGATAGGAATGCCTATTGTAAAAGATAGAGCAAAATCTATTCCTATACATCTCTGGGATACAGACAGGAATTGGAAGTCAGCAGCCTATGTAGGGTATGGCCCTGAGCGAGTAGGGAGTACCGAGGACTGAGCCCCAAAGTGTGACAACAGGCAAAGGGGGCCTGGAAGGAGCCGTCAGAGAAGCAGGAGCCAAACCAGGGAGACGGAGCCGCAGAGCCAGTGAAGACAGCATCTCAGCAGGGGGAAGGGCTGCCTCTGATACCTCATAGGTCCAGTCCAATGAGGTCAAAGGCTCGCCCTCTGTAGTCCCAGCTACTCCAGAGGCTGAGGCAGGAGAATCGCTTGAACACAGGAGGTGGAGGTTGCAGTGAGCTGAATTCGCACCACTGCCCTCCAGGCTGGGCAACAGAGCAAAACTGCATCTCAAAAAAAAAAAAAAAAAAATTAGCCAGGCATGGTGGTGCACACTTTAATCCCAGCTACTTGGAGGCTGCGGCAGGAGAATCACTTGAACTGGGGAGACGGAGGTTGCAGTGAGCCGAGAGTCAGCACCATGGACACCCTGAAGAAACCAGCACGGGGGAAGGACGAGGATCACTGCTGATGGGCACTTGAATAAGCCCCTCAGGGAGGAGAGTGGGAAGGCCCTCTGAGAACAGGGGCAGCAGCTGACAGGCCCGGGGCAGCAGCTGCGGAGGGGCAGCTGCGTTTCTCCGAAGAACAATGAGGGACCCTGTGTCCTTGAGCTCGGAGGCGGGCGCCTCTCTCCCAGGGCCAGGAGGAAAACAGATCCCTGCGTTAATTAAGTCTCATCAGCAGCAAGGCAGCACTTGCCAAGGCCCTGCCTCTGAGGAAGCACTGGGCAGCAGGGACAGGCGCTGGCTCCTCGGGAAGGTGCTCAGGCCGGGGAGGAAACGAGCCCTGCCTGAGGACCTGGCCAGAGGAAGGCCACAGCCCTGGGAGGGGCCCGGAGGACCTGGGCAAGGAAAGGCCAGCTGAGGCCAGTGCTGAGGGAGAAAGCAAGGGGAATGCAGTGCCTCTGCCTGCCTGTCGTGGATGACGCCCAGTGGGGTAGGGCTGGCTCTAAATGTTGGCTTTCGAGTAGAAATTCCTTAGATGTTTAACTCAGTCTGGTGTTGAATGAGCAGCTGTTATCCAGCGAGATAGTTATGGATCTAGAAGAGGCTTTAGTCATCATCTCTTCCAACCACTTTTTACAAAGGGAGAAACTTCGGCTTAGGGAGGCAGCAACTTGCCCTGGGTCATGCAGCCAGTGAGTGGCAGGGCCAAGAACCAGCACCAGGGCCCTTGGCATCCTGTGACTGCCCGCAGGCCAGAGGGTGCCCCGCAGATGCTGCTGCCGCTGAACCCACACACTGAGGAAAGCAGCGGAGGCAGAATGGGCCGGGATAGAGCTGGGGGAGCCGGGAGAGTGCTGGCCTTTGTGGAGAGGAAAGGGGGTCCTGATGACAGGCCTGGCTCAGCTGGAGAGAGTGACAAAGCTCTGCGGGGAGGCAGGCCTTAAGGGAGGCTCAGGACCTGGGGCTGGGGGCTGCAGACAGGCCCTGGGAGGAACAGGCACTGCCACCTTGCCGTGTGCACGAGACATTCATTTAAGTCCCTCTGAGTGGCTTTGGGCTGGAGACACGTGGTGCTTCTCGGACGTCCCCTCACTGTGTGCTCCGTTTGGCTCCAGCTTCTTAGTCATTTCGTGCACTGAGTTCAAGAGCATTCATCCTATTTCAGACTTGCCTCCCACACCTGACTCTCAGCTGGGTTCTGCTGGATTACCTGAGGGCTGGACTGGGCTGCACTGGGGTGGGCAGGACCTTGCAGCCCCTCACCAGGGCAGAGAATCGCGAAAAGCTTTCCTAGCCAGGCGGGCAGCACTGCATCAATGCAGGTCCTGAGGGCCGTTCTGCCCTGGGGAGATGACCAGACACACTCACCGTCTTCCAGGAGTGCACAGCGGAGCCGGGAAGACAGATGGAGATGCAAGGAACCTGGCCACAGCGGTGAGAGGAGATGACCTGGGAGGCCCCCGCACAGGGAGGTCTGGTCCAAGGTCAAAGAAGCTTTACTTGAGCAACAGGTTTGAGGTCTGGGAAGAGGAGCTTTATCCAGATTTGAAGCGCGAACCCAGTTTATTTGTAATTTGTCTAGAGATGCTCTGTTGTGTTGTTTTGTTTAACAATTCTGGAAGGTCTCTTCTCTTTCAAATAATTCTCTGGCTCAAAAGAAAATCTCTCAAGAGGAGAAGTACAGCTGTTCGAGCAAGAACAGTGTGGGCCCTTGGTCTCCAGGTGGGGCAGTGGAGCCAGCGAAGGGAGTTTTCATCTGACCCTGAATGCCAGCATTGGGGGAGGACAAGGCAGTGTGAGGCCCACATGGGAGACTGCTGAGACAGGAGCGACCTCAGAAGTTACGGGCACGGAGTGGAGGATCAGGCCAAGTTGGAGCCCAGAACTTCGGGTTCCCAGAGAGGTCCATGTTGTCCCTGTGTCACTGGAGGCACAACTCTGGGTGTCTCCTCTCTTGCCTGAACTGGGGTTCTGGGCCCCTAATTCATTAATCCCCAGCATGTCTGCCTGCTAGAAAGGGGTCTCTGTGGGAGGTGCTGACAGGGAGGGGCAGGGGCAGTTGTTCAGAACAGCGTGTCCAGCTCCTTGTAGGAACAGGACCCGTGAGGCTGCCAAAAAGGGGCCAGGGCCTCCAGGCAACTGCTCCCTTCAAACTTGGCTCCTGTCCAGCCCTGTCCTCAAAACCAGGGAAGGCAGCCCTGACAGATGGCAGCGACACTGAGCTGTCAGCCTTCCCAGCAGGACCAAGCATCCTGTGGGTTTAGAGAACAAGGCTGGCCCCTGCTTTGCCCCCAGGGCTGACCACTGACCACCGCTCCCTGGGTACTTCCCAGACAGCTTCCCCACTCTGGGCTTCAGTCTTTGCCTTAAGATTGGAGACTGAGCTAACCGAAGTTTCTGTCAGTGCCTAGAGCAAACGTGTGGGCAAGAACATGAACACCCTGGCCGGTTCCAAATCCCAACATTCTAGTGGCTCCAAAAGACAACCGTGCCCAAACTGTGTTCTGGGGACCTTTCTTGATGTTCCATGAGAGATGGGTCCCTGAAATAAAGGATAAGCATTCTCCATCAACACAGATGTGGTCTATCCACATAATGGAGCATTGTTCAGCCACGAAAAGCAATGAAACTCTGACACATGCCAACACGAGGATGGACGTTGAAAACATTACGCATAGTGAATGAAATAAGTCAACAGAGAAGGACAAATATTGTATGATTCCACTTATATGAAGTACATAGAATAGGCAAGTTCGTAGAGACAGGAAGTAGAATAGAGTTTATCAGGGTGGGGGAGGGGAGGAGGTAGAGTTATTGTTTATCGGGTGCAGAGTTTTTGTTGGCAATGATGAAAACATTTGGGATGCGGATAATGGTAATGGTTGCACACATTATGAATGTATTTAATGCCACTGAACCGTCCACTTAATGGTTAAAATGCTCAATATTACGCTATGTGTATTTTACCATAATAAATTTCTTTTTAAAAGATAAGTGTTCATATAAGTTTGAGAGGCACTGAGTTCAAAAAGTTAAATGAGTGTTTCTACTGCAGGACTTTTCAGTGTCTTTAGGAAAAGGATATATTACCTTGTGGTCCTCAATGGACAGGATCATTGAATCAGTGGTTCTTACATAGCCTAATGTTATTCATCTTAGGGCTGCTCCCCAGATTACAGTATTTGGCTTTCCAGGCTGTCTCTCACACCAGGACCTGTGCAGAAAAAGCACTTAAATCTTCCTCAAACCTCTTGTCCTGATTTTTATTTATGAAATGAAGGTCAGTGTAGCCATCTCAAAGCATACCAAAAATAAATAAATAAATAAATAAAAACGTGCTGTTTTTGTTCTATTTTCTCCTCCAAAAATGGAGATTCCTTTCCTGGGATTTGGAAACATTTTTGAGTTGCTTATTAAAAAAAGAAATAAAATGTGTGTGTGTGTGTGTGTGTGTGTGTGTGTGTGTGTGTGTGGTGTGCATGTGTGTGTCTGCCAGAGGGGAATTCTCTAGAAACTTCTGGTTGTGGTGCTGGGAATGAAATCCCAGATGATGAAAGCTTGTTGCCTGTGAGCCAGATGGCTTTGGAGGTGGTTGGGGGCACGGGCTTGGCTCTGCTCGTTTCTTGGAGAGAGGGCAGCCTCTGTCCTGGCCTTGCTCCCCACTGCGTGGCCCATCTGCTGCCTTTGGACAAGACTTGGTGACAGGAGAGCCCCAGGAGAGGCTGGCTGGTCCAGGGCGGTGCATCTTTTCTCCCAGAGGTGAGACCCTGGATACTTGCTTAGCCGGGAGCGGGTGAGTGCCCTCACCAGCTGCTGTATTTGCTCATGGTCTATCCATTAGCCACCATATTGGTGGTGATGGGCATGGAGGGGGCAGGGAGGATGTTAGAATGAAGAAAAAAGACAAGATTTAAGTGCCAGCTGTGGGACAAGCTTGGGTGAGTCACAGCCCAGAAATGTAGCACCAGGGAGTGAAGCCAGAGGGGAAAAAAACTTATAACTGCCAGAAACATGATGAACCTGTCAAAAATACATGAAATTAGCTGCGTACGTTAGGAAGCAAAAGGCAAGGTCCTGTTAGTTTTTTTATGAGTGTAAGCATTTTAAAAAATTTATCAGGAAAGAAAAAAAATCATTCCTCTCCACACTACTGCCTTGGGTGAGGGATGTTTTGGAGAAATCGAGGAAAGGTGTCTGTGTTCCCTTGAGAGCCTCAAGGTAGAGAGAAGGAAGCAGCCACAGGAGCCACTGAGTGAGAGATGAATTCAGCAGGCCCCAAAGATCAAAGCCAGGGATGTAAGTCCCCCGAGAATCCTCAGAGACACGGGCAATGCCGGGCTGGCTTCCCACTGAACATGGCGCACGAGTGGAGATGTTTTTATTTATATGGGAAAAGGAAAGATGAGCCCCGAGGGCAGGAGGGTAGCAATGTAGGTCATTGCTGTCGGGTTAAGTAGGGCCTCTCTTGTCTGCCCAGGTTCTGGGACTGAAAGAACTAGAGTTCCCTGGGGACCCAGGCGCCAGGCGGGATACAACGCTGGGGAACATTAGGACAAAAAGGAACTGTTTCCATTGCAGCAAACATTAAGGTCAGAAAGAATCCTATTTCACGGAGAGCCAGAGAGAAGGAAACAGGGTCAGGACTGAGAGAGAGGGGCTGCTAATGATACCTTGGGATGGGACTGGGCCACCACCCTCAGATGGCCAAGCTGGGGGCATGCCCAGACACGGTGGTGAGAGGGAGATGTTGTAGATCTGGAGGGCACAGAAGACCATCGTGATAAGCAGCTAAGAGCCTGAGCTGGCCAGGCACGGTGGCTCACGCCTGTAATTCCAGCACTTGATGAGGCGGAGGCGGGCTGATCAACATGGTGAAACTCCATCTCTACTAAAAATACAAAAAATAAAAATAAATAAAAAAAATAATAGCTGGGAGTGGTGGTGCATGCCTGTAATCCCAGCTACTTGGGAGGCTGAAGCAGGAGAATCTCTTGAACCCGGGAGACGGAGATGGTGGTGAGCTGAGATCACACCACTGTACTCCAGCCTGGGCAACAAGAGCCTGGGCTGTAGTTAGGAGGCAATGAGCCCGAGGAGGAACTTTGGAAATAAACCTGTATCAGCCATGGCAGAGGCAGGGTCGGAAGGGACGGGCCATGACAGGGAAGCCAGTAAGGAGGCAGCCACATAGTCTGTGAGCAGGAGCAAAGGTGAACTCTTGCCATAACCTCAAACACGCCATGCTGGGGTGGCCCGAGGAGGCTGGCCCGCTCCAGGGAGGCCACAGGACCAGGGCGGCAGAGAGAGCTCATCTCTCCGATTGATTAGTAGTAACTGCTTGGAACATTGTCTGGAGCAGAGGTCAGGCAGTGTGGGAACCCCTGGAGAAAAAAGCCACTGTTGATTAGTGATGTCTGAGGTGGGGCTGTAAGGAGGCTTGGTGGCCTTCGTTCATTCATCCACACATTCAGCAACTGTTCATTCAGTGCCCGTGTGCCAGCATGTCTGCTGTGATGCTGTCCTCTTAGCTCAGTTCACAAAGGCTTGGCCACATAAAGAGGAAAAAGGTCCAAGGCCAGACTTCTCTCAGCTCTAAGCCCCTCTCCCTTCAAGCCTCTCTGAAGCCTTATAGAAGATCACCTGGTCTGGGTCCTGTTTCCTCCCAGTCTTGAACAAATTAGATGCTTGGGAGTTATTTGTGGAAGGAAGAAAACAAAAATGAGTTAATTACCACATTTTCCATGTTTTATTCATTCATTCAACAAAGAAACCAATATAAACACTTTGCAAGGCCCTTTCAAGGATTGGGGGTTGAAATAGATCCAAACTTTGCTCTCCAGGAATTCATAGTACCATCTGATATTAGACACGTGCCCACAGTTCTGTAAAATGCTGTCACTGTTTGTCAATCTAAGTTACTCAGGGTGCCTGGCTTCAGGGAGGCAGGCATAGTTTGTCTGGGGTCCAGGTCACCCAAAGGGAGGCACTTGTGAGGGCAAAAATCCCAGGGGTAAAGGTGAAGCCAGCCCCTCCCCACAAAGCAGGGACCCTGTGCCCCACTATTTTCCTGGAACCAGGAAACAGAAAGCAGCTGTGAAGGTGGGGGACAGCAAGAGGGCAAGACAAGAGCAATGGTACTGATACACTCAAAGGGTGTCCTTGGAGATGTCTGAGTCTTGATGTTTTCCTAGGCTGCTGGCAACGACCAGTTTGTGTCTCAGGAAGCAGCATAGGAGGGATGCAAATGTAGCCCCAACTCCACCCCACTAGCCGGCTTCCCATGGCTGACCACAGTGTGGCCTCTATCTTACCCTAATTAGCTGTCCCTGTGCCTCTGTCCAGGCTCGCCGGCAAGCTCTTGAGCAGAGAGGGGCTCTGCTTCTACCTGCAGTTTCCAACACAGTCCCTACACATGGCAATGCTACCCAGTGTCTGGCCCCTGGGACCTGCCTACTCATGCCTCCACTCGCTGTGAGAAAGGGGAGTTTGGTGGAGGTCGAGAAATCCAGAATAAAAGAGGATGGCACAGGGCCATGAAGGGTGTGGCCATGGAGACAGGAAGGAGTGTAGCGTGGAGAGACGGACACTTGCTCAGAACCTCATCTCCAGAACTTAACCCTCTTTTTCTGGGACAGCCTCAGGCAAGACCCAGGAAGCAGCACACAGCCTGAAGGCAGAGTCTTTGGAGAGTCTTGCAAAGCTTGGTCTGTGAGCTGAGATCTCCAACTCCCAGAGCCGTTCTTTCTGGTTTTGTCCTGCAGAGAGCAGGAGCCTGGCACACACACATATGAAGATGCGTGTGCACACGTGGGGCTTCATGCAGACTCACTGAGGACGATCTTGTGGGCCCCTGGAAAGGGTCCCCTCATCCCTTTATGGCCTGTGCCTGGTGACCCAGAGCAGACAACAGGGCAAGGAGAGTGTGCTACAGATTCGCAGGTGACTCTGACCACAAACCCAAGACCAGACTGCAAAGGGCTTTCACAGGGCCCCGTGAGGGCAGCTCCTCACCATTTATGTTTTGCTGAGGGTCTTCTTGCATGGCTGCTTGCATAAAACTGTTTATGACTGCCAGTGGAGTCTGAATCTATCTGAAATAGAATTCCATTTTCTGGAAATGTACACGAGTATATGTGTGGGTGTGCATGTGCACAGGAGAGGGAGTGTGCATGTGTGTGCAAACACAGGTTGCTGTGCTGGAAAGGAAGCTAGGAAAGGAGAGGAGAGCATGGACTTTCAGTCATCCACACATATACATATGTGTACACACACGCGTCCATCCACAGCCTGTCTCCCAAATCGGTGCTCTAAGTAACTTTCTTGCTGTAGACCAGAGCCCACTTAGACTAACGGCTTCAACCTTGCCTGCACATTAAGATCACCTGAGGAGCTCGTAAAAGACCAGGCCACACCCCAGACCAATACATCAGAATTTCTGAAGATGAAATTTGGGCCATCAATACAAATATTTAATAATCTCCTCGGGTGATTCCAACGTCCTGCCAGGGCTGAAAGCTCCTCTGCGTAGAAAGCCCTTCTATTCCCCTTCTCGGAAAGCTCCTATTCACCTTATTTAAGACCCAAGTCCCATGGCTATTTTCCAGGAAAATCCTTCCTGAGAGCCTCCCTGGGAGTTAGTTCTTTCTTTCCTGAAACTCCTGACAATACCTTAGCCGTCTGACAGCAATCATAATTATTTGCTTGTCTACCTGTCTGTCCCACCCCGCTACCCCCCTACAGAACCCAGAGCTCCATGATGGCACGCCTATCTTCGTGTCTGACAGACAGCTGGCCATCAGTGATGCTTCAGAATGAAAGGAATGTAATGAAGACCATATGCAGGAGGGAGATGGGAGGTGGGGGATGGGCTGTCCCTGGGTAGTAAGGCCATGGGTCTGCTTCCTTAGCAGCAGAATGGGGGTACACTCCATACCCTTTGGTAACAGAAATGGTCCTTTATGTCAACAATTTGATGCTGGCCAATCCACATGTCCTGCTTCCTCAGGACAACAGAGCAGTGCTGTTATCTTGCCGGGGTCACAGGGTGGTTGAACCTTCCTAAAGGACCCTCCTGACCCCATTCCACGCCCGCTCTGTTCAGTCGGCTTCCAGAGCACCTTTGCTCTGTGGAGTGCTCAGGGCCACCTGGGTCCCCTGTTTCTGCGCCAGCCCAGGGATCCAGGACAGCCCACACACTGTGGTCCTTGGTAAAGAGGCAGCCTGGGAAACACTAGTGCAAAGGGGGCTTCCTGCAGCCGACCCCACCCCAGCCCAGGAATCTGAGCAGCAGAGACGAGAAAGTGACACAGGTGAAACCAAGGGACAAACTGTGTCCTGCATGGCTGCAGTCTCCAGTCCCCTCCTTTCCCCCTTTTCTTGGGCAGCCCTGTCCCTTCTGCCTTGACAGTGCTCTCCTATTTCTGATCACCCCTTCTCCCGGTCCCAATGGGCCTTTATTGTGCCTATCTTAGGCCCAATGAGGTGAAGCCATGTGACAAGGCCACACAGAGACTTTGGGCTGGGACTGGGGGGGCTGCTAGAAAGGGTTTGAGAGCACAGGACTTGGAGTGAGGCCATCCTGACTCAACAACTAGCTCTGTCACCAACTGGCCCTGTCTCCTTGAGGCCTCGGTTTCCACATCCGTGAAATGGGGTGAATAATAGGGGCCTTCATCTCATAAATCCATGGTACAGATTAAGTGCAATGCTGACAGAGAGGGCTCCTCATGTGTTTCTGACCAGACCTCCTGGTCACTAGTCCAGGCTGAGACTACTGCGGGAGCCGCCCTCTACCCACTTCCACACAGACACGCACACACACTCACACAGACACACACACTCTCACCTGTACAGTGTCTGCTCCTGAAAGGCTCTCAACCTGGAGGTAGAGACCAACCCCCTCCCTCACACACCCCAGCCGATGACCGGCCAAAGTCCTGGTCACCCACAGAGTCCACTCCACACAAGTATTTTCTTGACATTTTGGGGCTTTTACTTCAATTTGAAGCAGATGGTTGAGCACAGACGTGAACAGCTTTGGCCTTTTGAGCACAAGGAAGGAGCGGGCGTTGGCTTTGAACACGCCCACTGTCCCCCACATACTGGCCCAGTCCCCTGGTCCCTTCCTCCTCTGCCCCTGCACACCCTGTAACAGACAGACCGCCAGCCTCCAAGTGGGGAGCCACCTTGCCCAGCAGGACGGCTCCAGCTAGCCCAGCCCCCACTCCGTCCTCAGGCCACGGGCAGGCTGAACAAGAGAGAAACGCTCTTTCTGTCCATAGCAGGAGCCGCCCATGGTGCTGGCTGCCTAGGATGGGCCCCCATCGGGGTGGTCACAGTGAGGAGAGGCTGGTTGGAGGAGCAGAGACCCGTAGGTACCTGCCCTGGGACAAGCCCTGGCGTAGGGGAGCCGGTAATATTGCTTCTCTCCCCACTTACTCCCTTCTGGTGATGCTCAGGGCTCAAGGAGCCTGAACCCAGGGGACACTGGCAACTGGGGCCAGCGGCCTGGGCAGCCAATGAAGGGCAGAGAGCAGGCAGGGATCTCAGGCCCCACTCCCGGCCCTGCTCAGGCACCCCAGCCTCCCTCTCTCAGCCCCCAAGGCTTGTCTTGCACTCAGCCAGAGCAAGGCCCTGTGGAGAGAGTGTCCCGGGAGTTCACCAAATGCCCATCCCTTCCAGGAGTTCCTAGCAGAACCGCTGACTAGTCTTTGGCTTGAGATGGGACTCAGACAACAGGAGGAGCAAAAGTCACAGAGCAACGGTGTGGCTTTTCACTATGGGGCTTCGTCACCCCATTTCCTTCGGTGTCTCTGTCGAATCTTTGGCAATGAGCTTCCGCAGCTGGACAGTGGGCCTTGGGCTCTCAGTGAGTAGGGGGCTGACCTCTCCCCTCCCCACCAGGCAGAGGGCAAGGTGCGAAGCAGCCTCGGAGTGGCTAGGTGGGGGCAGAGGAGAGAGGGAGGCAGGCGTGCTCCAGGTCTACTCTGAGAGGCTGTGGGCTGGGCGTCTGGCGGCATCTTGGAGAACACCACCAGGCTGGACTGTCAAGCTCACCTTGTCCTCAGGCCTGATGGGTAGGAGGGCCCACAGCGGTGGTCTCGGTCTCGCCTGTAGCCAGTCACTCCTGAAAGACATGAGCAGCCATTAGAAAGCTGCCCTTACTCCACCTAGTTCCTATTTCCAGACGCTTGCAGAATGTCCCCTCATTGAATCCTCCTGGCAGGGGCCTCTACCTTGAAGGGTTTGATAAGTGGAAGAGCCAGGATTCAAACCAGGCCTGGCTGCCTCCAGAGCCCACACTCCCGCCTCCTCCTCAGTGCTGCATTTCAGAGCCCCTGTGTTGCGGTTGGTCTGGGGAAAGAAGAGGACCACAGTGGGTATCGGGAGCCGGGCCGCTGGAAGCTCGGGAACACCTGGGACTGACACCACAATCCACAGGGCCACCCTTCTAAGGGGTCTCAGTGTCAGGCCCATCCCCACTCTGGGGTGGTGGGCTCCTCTGTAGGCTCAGCCCCACTGGAATGGCCATCTGTGGCTTCCTTGCACTGCCCTGGGAGTCACAAGGCCCACTCTAGTGGTAGCACATTCACCTGCCAGCTGGGTGACCCAAGACTAGTCACTTGACTTCGCTAGGCATCAGTGTCCTCAGATGTAAAATGACATGGCTGCAGCAGATCAATGATTTTCAAGCTCCTTTTAAGCAGGAGAATGAAGTACATGAAGCGCTAACACAGAAAACATGGTTCAGTCGATTTGGTGCAGCAGAATCAGCGGACACAGAGGGAGGGGACCCAGAGACCTGTTGCATTCCTCCCAACAGAGAGCCTGGGACATGTGTGAGAATCGGGGTGCTAAGGAGCACAGTTGGAAAACTGCTGGGTTAGACAGTTTAAGTTCCCTGAAACTCTGATCTGTGCAATCCTCATTCCGGCAGCTGAACTTGGTGCTCTGAGCAGAGGGTGTAACTGGCTACCAGGAAGGGCTGGGAGAGGGGGAAAGGTCATGTGGGCTGGGAGTTTTAGTCTCTGGGGAGTTAAGAGCTGGTGGGGAGACTCTGTGAGACCTCCAGATCCACCCAGAATGAAAAATAACAAAATCCCTGACCCTGGTACAGCACACTCCTCCAAACACCCTTTTGATTCGTGCTCCAACCCTCAACCAACAGCTATTAATAAGTAGTTATTTTTAAAGCAAACATCTGTCAGGCACCTCCGACCTGCCAGGGAGCATTCTCATTCCCCCGTCTCACGAGTGAGCAATCCCAGGCTCCGAGAAGGAGGTGCTAGAAGTTGCCAGCGCCAGGATTTGAATCCAGATCGGCAGTGTTCATCCTGCCACAGAGGTTGCTTTCGCTGAGACGGAGGCTTGGGGAGCCGGGATGGAGCCAAACCACGACGTTGGAGGGCCTGCTAACCACAGGCCCTGGTGAGCCCTGTGGGCTGGGGCTGCCGGCCAAGACACAAGGCTGGGGCAAGGCTGAAGTGGGGTCCAAGGAGGGCGAGGGAGCCGGGCCAGAGGGAGGGAGTGCTCTCCAGCTAATAGCGGTTCAGGAGGAAGAAAAGGAAAAGTGAGAGGCGGGAGCATCTTGATGTGGTAAATCCCAGGCTCACATTCTCCAAGCCCACTGTGCATGGCTGGCCCCAGCAGGAATCTGCTTTGTGTTACAGAGTCTGAGGAGGAGGATTAAGAAGCGGAAAGGAAACCCGTGGGGATGGCACTGAGTCTGTGGTCCATGGGGTGATTTACAGCCTACGTCATCCCGGAGCGGGCTGCCTGGGCCAGCCCTGCCATGGGCAGAAAAAGTTTTTCTCTGTTCAGTCTGCTCGTGGCCTAAGGAAGGAGCGGAGGCTGGATTGGCTGGAGCCGTCCTCCTGGGCATGCTGTAAAAGCAGTTGGGGCAGCCTGGGGCCAGTCCCAAGCCCTCTATTGGTTATCAGTCCCTGCTGAAGCCATGGCTGCCATCGAAGATTAAAGGAGACAGGGGTTTCTCTCACCAAGGTCTGACCTTCAATTCATGACCCCAGCCTTTTCCTGGTGTCTACACTGGACCACCACTACTTCTGCCAGGAATCCACATACATCATCCATCCTAGGAAGTCTTATGTTCACAGAGATATAATGGGAAGAACACTGGGAGGCCTCAGGTGCCAGGACTTTCTCTGCAATTAAGCAGCCGTGTGACCTTGGGTAGTTCACTCTCCCACTCTGTGCTTTAATTTCCTCACTTGTACAGTGAGGGGAGAGAGGTAGATTAGCATTGCCCAAAACATGTTCTGTGGAACCCCAGCTATGTGAGGTATTCATGAGTTTGGGAAACACCACATACCTTGGCCCCAGCTTGGAAAGTCACTTATGTATATTAGCACAAAGGCTCTGAAAAGTCCTGCAGTGAAGAAATGTGTGTGGCTTTAATGACCCAGTTTCCCAGCTGACTCTTTTTCTTTTTTTGAAACAGGGTCTCACTTTATCACTTAGGCTGAGTGCAGTGGTGTGATCCCGGCTCACTGCAGCCTTGACCTTCTGGGCTCAAGTGATCTTCCTGCCTCAGCCTCCCAAGGAGCTGGGACTACAGGCATGCACCACCATGCCCAGCTAATTTTTTTATAGAGACAAGGTCTCACTATGTTGCCCAGGCTGATCTTGAACTCCGGGACGTAATCCCCCTGCCTTGGCCTCCCAAAAGTTATAGGCACGAGTCACTGCAGCCAGCCTCCCCAACTGATTTGACCATGTAATTGCTACTGCATGGTGATGGGCAGAAACTCACTTCAACCCTCCAGGAAAGGGAAGGTCATTTAAAGCTACAAAAGGGCATTTCACAGAGACCAGGGGAAAGGTATCAGGAAAGACAGCAAAGGGCAGTCTGTGGCTGCCCTCTAGATGCCTGCTAATAGCAGCCACTTGCAGGTATCTGCCTTCCTCCCTGGGTACTGACTAGCCTGGTCTCCCAGCACGCCAATTCCCAACACCCAGCGGAGGATGCCCATTGGTCCAGCCTAGGTCCGATTCCTTCCCCTGGACCAATCAGCTATGGCTGAGATATACCAATGATACCTCTTCATAAGGGGCTTTGTGTGTAGGAGCGTGCATGTGGGGGTGTATAATTGCAAATATGGAGAACAGCAAGCATCCCCACTATGACCACCACACCACAGAACCCCTTTTCATTGGAACGCCTGGCAACATCCTGTGTCCCGTGTGAGGGTCACAGTGCGAGAGCTTACATTCCCCCTAGCTCTGGCCCTTTGTGGTTTTTTGTGTTTCTGCTGCCAGCCAAGGCTGTAGGTCCAGCTTACTCCCTGGCTCACTGTCCTCAGAGCCCCTGCCACCACAGAAGATGTCCTTTAAACAACAGGTTCTGCTGCTAAAATTAACCCTGAGAATGACTAGATGAGATAGTCTCACAGGTCCCTCTTAGCTGGTCCAACATGCTAAGTCAGAGCGAGGTGATTTGATCAGATGGCCAAGTGGGACCATTCATCACAGGCAGAAAGCATCTTTTTATCTGTCTGCTTGGTGGTGGTCAGAATGTCAGCTCCACAAGGGCAGGGATGTGGCCTGTTTTGTTTGCTGTTGTGGCTCCAATGCCCAGAACAGTGTCTAACACACAGCAGTATCTCAATAAATATTGGGCCAGGCATGGTGGCTTACACCTATAATTCCAGCACTTTGGAAGGCTGAGGTGGGAAAATCTCTTGAGGTCAGGAGTTCGAGACCAGCCTGGCCAACATGGCAAAACCCCATCTCTACTAAAAATACAAAAATTAGCTTGGTATGGTGGTGCATATTTGTAATCCCAGCTACTTGGGAGGCTGAGGTAGGAGGAGCTCTTGAACTCAGGAGGCAGAGGTTGCAATGAGTTGAGATGCCACTGCACTCCAACCTGGGTGTCAGAGTGAGACTCCGTTTCAAAATGACAACAACAAATAAATACTGGTTGACTCAATCATAGCTACTTCCTGTCACAGGTATTTTACTCACTGTGGCTTTTATATATTGCAAGATATTTCTCCTGTTTTAAATGTAACATTGAGCATTTTTGTAAATATGTCTATCTATACTTTAGGGGAAGTTGTGATAATTGTTATGAAACCCTGGAAAAATTTAGCATCCTTTATGCTTTTGTTCATTTCCACTTTAAAAAAATTTTTCTAATTATACTTCCTGGGCTTACTAAGCTTGTCTCTGTCTCTAAATGCACTGTTCTCCTCTCCTGATCACTTCTGTGCACTGCAGGGTAATTCTCACCACTTTGGAGCATTTAAAAAAACAATTTTATCTGCCTTGTTCACTTTACCTACTTAACCATTTTCCACTATTTCAAATTATACACTTTTTTTTTTTTTTGTATTTAAGCAATTTGGATACAGCCTTCTACATGCAGAAGGGGAAAAGCCTCCAACAGGGTTGAATTCTGCCTTTTTTTAAAATTTGTCTTTCCTAAAAAGGGCAGTCAGAGTTCAAATGTTATTTTGAAACTAAAAGGATAGTTTGCCTTTCACTTTTAAGTACACCAGTATGTGGGCTGGAAGGGGGGTTTCATGTTTGCCTCTGAATGCTGCTCTTGATTTTTACTGGGGCTCATCTTGGCCCTAAAGTCAGCTGGGGGTCCCTGAGCAGGATGCTTAAACTCTCCAAGCCTCAGTTTCCTCATTTTTTTTTTTTTTTTTTTTTTGAGACAGGGTCTTGCTCTGTTGCCCAGGTTGGAATGCAGTGGTGTAAACAAGGCTCACTGCTCAGGTGATTCTCCCCAATCAGCTTCCTGTATGCTGGGGACCACAGGCTCGTGCCACCACACCTGGTTAGTTTTTTTTTATCTTCTATCAACAAAGTCTCACTTTGTTGCCCAGGCTGGTCTGAAACTTCGGGGCTCAAGTGATCCTTCCCGCCTCAGCCTCCTGAAGTGCTAGAATTAGAGATGTGAGCCACCACGCCTGGTCAGTTTCCTCGCCTTTATTTATTTATTTATTTATTTATTTATTTATTTATTTATTATCAGAGTCTTGCTCTGTTGCCCAGGCTGGAGTGCAGTGGCGTGATCTTGGCTCACGAGTAAACTTCACCTCCTAGGTTCAAGCGACTCTTGACTCTCAGCCTCCCAAGTAGCTGGGATTACAAGCATGT